TATGGGCTGGGAATGAACTAGAAGGGGAGTAAACATCACTTAGAAATCCTGGACTCAGAGCTGGGAGTTGAGACCCTGGTTCATCTCTTTTGGAGGATATTTGGTGGGCACATTTCCTTTGTAGTTGGGAAAGTCATGCTGTTAGGCAATAGCTTGTTGTTACTGATTAGGAAAGCTATTAGTGGATATTTGTAACTTGTGTCCACCCACTCAAAATTGTTGACCATCATCCTGTTTTGATGACTTTCTACATTTTGTAAGTGTCACTTTCCCAAGGTAAAAGCCAAACATTTTGCATCCCCGGAATCACTTGTAACTAGGAGACAGCCACAAAATCTAGTTTTGCCTTGTGGTGGACTCAAAAGGAACAAAAGAGCACAAGGTTGTGGCCATAGGCCGGGCAGTCAGTCTCTGCAGGATGGGGCAGAGGGTGATGCTCAGCAAAGCTTCTGATACAGTGGTCCTAAGCATCACAAGGGGCATGTCTCAAAGCTGTCCCCGAGTCACACCTGAAGCTGTTCTGTGTAGCTTCACAACAGGGCTTTCCGAAATCCTGTGAGCTATCTAATATCTTTAATGAACTTCTCTGCTTAAAAGCCAGACCCACTCTGGCTAGTCTCAGGCAGAGAAAAAGTGAAATAAAGAATGTCAGGCAACTAAGGTTCCTGAGCACACAGGGTTTCAAGCTGGGAGCTATTGCATTTTTGCCTTCAAAAGGTCACTCTGGCAGCAGAAGTGTGGATAAATTAAGAGAAAAATCACAGGCTGTGGCAGTAATTTAAGGGCCGATCAAGACAAGCCTTGACCAAGAGAGTGACAAAAGGAAAAAAAAAATTCAGAGGGAAAAGGCAAAAAACACAAACCTAAACTATAAATATACAGTTCTGTCAGTAAGCACATAAAAATACAAAGATAAATAAAAATTAAAAAGCACAGTATCGCCTTTTTTTTATTTTTGGCCTATCAGTCCGGCAAAAATTAAAAACATTCGTAATACCCAATATTGGCAAGGTTAAGAGGAAAAATATTAGTGAGATATAATTAATGAGCATTGACAGTCAAGTCTTCTTTAAAAAAAACCTTGTATCACGTATTTTTTACTGAATCTACTGAAATAAATTTTCAGGTAACTCTTAAAAACAATCAGGCTACTGGCAATGTCTGTAGTATGCTGCTTTTTGACTGAGTTTGAGAATAACTTTTATACTCCTTTGTATCATATACTTGCAAAAACAGCCTGCAAAGTCATTTATGCAAATTGTTCATACAGAAAACTCAAAGCATAAAAATATTATTACAGCAATGAGCAAAGTCACTAGCCTAGAGACTTCAGCTTATCCAGGGTTGTATATTAAGTATATATACCCATGCTGATATATATTCCATTATATGGATCTAGAAATGGAAAAAAAATGAAGGAACTCATGAAAATGAGGAAAGAGATCCAATTTACACAAAAGCGTAAAGCATCCACATTCATCCAAACTAAGTACTTAGAAACAACAACTCTATTTTCAGGGAACAGGAGACACAGAACAGAAAACTAAGGAGGAAATAGGCATGGCTTTCTGGTTAGTGGATTTGAACTTGGTTTTGAAACAGGTTTAAAAGACAGCAGGATCAGCTGAAAACAGGCAGTTAGATAAATGTATAGAGAGATGTTTTTGGTGATGCTGTTAATAAACAATATAAGATAGTGGCATGCCATGACGCATCCCTCTTGTCTCTGCAGGTGTCTAGATCTACACAGCCTACAATACAATGAACCTCAGTCATCTGTGAAAAGCAATCTTGTGGTCGAGCTGCATCAGCCATGCTCATACCTTTTAGAAATTGACAGTTTAGTAAGAGTCTAAGCATTTATTAACCAATCCCTACTGAAATACCAATGACATTCTTCATAGAAATAGAAAAAGATAACACTAAAAATTATATGGAACCACAAAAGATCCAAATAGCCAAAGCAATTCTGAGCGAAAGAATAAAGCTGGAAACATCATACTACCTGATTTCAAAATATACTACAAAGCTATAGCAACCACAATAGCATGGTATGGTTATAAAAAACAGACACATAGACCAATGTAACAGAATAGAGAACCCAGAAATAAGTTCACTTGCTTAGAGCCAACTGATCTTTAACAAAGGTGCCAAGAACACATATTAGGGGAAAGATCACTTTCTTTAAAAAACGCTGCTGGGAAAACTGGATATCCATATGCAGAAGAATAAAACTGGGCCCCTATCTCTCACTGGATAAAAAAATCAACTCGAAATGGATTAAAGACTTGAATATAAGACCAAAACTAGAAAACTACTAGAAAACTATAAAACTACTAGAAGAAAACTAGAAAACTGCTAGAAGAAAATTCAGGGAAAACTTCAAGATACTGGTCTAGGCAAGGATTTTGTAAGATTTCAAAAGCAGAGGCCATAAAAAGAAAAATAGAAAAATGGGCTATATCAAACTAAAAATCTTCTATACAGCAAAGGAAACAATCAAGAGTGGAGAACCTGTAGAATGGGAGACAACATTTGCAAGCTATCCATCTGACAAGCGACTAATGTCCATAATATACGAAACTCAAATAACTCAATAGCAAAAAGCTAATCTGATTTCAAAACGTGCAAAGGATTTGAATATTTCTCAAAAGAAGACATACACATGGCCAACAAGTATATAAAAAATTGCTTAACATTATTAATCATCAGGGAAATGCAAATCAAAACCACAATGAGATATCTCACCAAAGTTAGGATGGGCATTATGAAAAAGACGAAAACTAAAAAGTGCTGGCAAGGAAGTGAAGAAAAGGAACTCATATATATGGTTCATGGGAATTTAAATTAGTGTAGTCATTATGGAGAATAATATGGAGGTTCCTCAAAAACCTACAAATAGAATTACTATGTGATCCAGCAATCTCCCTACTAGGTATTTTAACAAAGGAAGAAAATCAGTGTATTGAAGAGATATCTGTACCCCCTTGTTTATTGCAGTACTACTCACAATAGCTAAGATATGGAATCAATCTAAATGTTTACCACCAGGTCAATGCATAAAGAAAATGTGGTATGTATATATATACAATGGAATACTATCAGCAATGTATACATTAAAAAAATAAAATCTGTCATTCATGGTGACGTGGGAGGAGGGCAAGGAAGTGCTGGGTAGAGAAAGGCAGGGTCCCTGGTGAGGGCTCCACCCTTAGGCCTGTGCCCACAGACCTAGGTGAGGACAGCCACTCCTGTTTTCATGCCCAAATGTTGCATCTTCCAAGACCACCCTGGCCCACCATGCCCCCAATCCTGTGCCCGAGACCCTAGCCGGCACACACACAGATGGCTGGACATCAACAGGAGCAGAGAAATGGAAGAGCAGGTCGACAAGCACCAGCAGACTCCGCAGGCCATCGACAGCAGGATAATGTGAAATTCCGCCGGGGGAGGGGGGAGTCAGAGGTCTGTCTGGCAGCTGGGCAGCCCAACTCCAGGGGAGGACCACCTTCCCACTTGATCCCACTTATGGCCTCTCCACTCACATCCCTGTGAGCCCTGTGAGCTACCTCCACTCTAAAACCTTGCACCCATTCTCCAAGCCCAGGTGTGATCCAATTTTTCTGGCACTCCAAGGAAAGAACCCGGGATACAGAAAGCCCTCTGTCCTTGAAATAAAGCAGAGTGCCTAACTGAGCTGATTAACACAAGCTGCCTGCCGATGCTAAACTGAAAAAGCACATTGTAACACATGCCCACTGGGGCTTCAGGAGCTGGAAACAGCCCTAGATGCTGCTGCTGTAGGATTGGAGCCAGTGCTACTGCCGTCTACATGTTCCCCTAGGGGTTTGAGCTGCGGGGCCACACCCCCATCACAAGTCCTGTGAGGGAGATATGGGATCTTTTCAATGGCAACATGAATGAGCTCAAAGGAAATTCAGTGAAGTAAGTCAGGCACATATACAAGATGGAATACTATTCAGCCATAAAAAGGAATGAATTAATGGCATTTGCAGCAACCTGTATGGGACTGGATATTATTATTCTAAGTGAAATAACTCAGGAATAGAAACCCAAACTCATAAGTGGGAGCTAAACTATGGGGATGCAAAGGCATAAGAAAGGCACAATAGACTTTGGGGACTGGGAGGGAAAGGGTGGGAAGGGAGTGAGATAAAAGACTACAAATCATGTTCAGTATATACTGCTTGGGTGATGAGTATACCAAAGTCTCACAAATCACCACTAAAGAACTTACTAGTGTAACAAAAAAATATGTAAAGAAAAAAGTAGAGATACATAGACACACTAAAATTTAATGATGTAATCAGAAGAAAAATAAATATCATGTTCTCACTCATATGTAGAAGCTATTTATATAAAAAAAAATGGAGCTCATACAATTATAGAGAATTGTGAGTATTAGAAGGCTAGGAAGGATAGGGAAAGGAAGGATAAGGAGAGGTTAGTTAATGGATATAAAATCGCCACTAGAGTAGGTTCTAGTGTTCTACAGCACTATAAGGTCAAATATAGTTAACATTAGCTTATTGTATATTTTCCAAAAACGAGAAGGATTTTAAATGCTCACAACACAAATGATAAATGTTCAGGTGATATATATGCTAATTACTCTAATTTGAAAATTACACTTTGTATACATTGTATACACGTATCAAAATATCCTATAAATATGTACAATTACTACATGTCTACCAAAAATAAAAAAGAAAAACTTAAAAATTAAAAAAATCCTTTAAAGAATTTACAGTTTCCTTAGGAATGTTTTATTTGCTATTTTTATACATTTTGCCTACCATTAAAAGTCCTGAGGGTTCTTTGGTTAATTTTCTTTACCCAAACAAAGTATCTTCATTAGGACATATTTTTTAAATGTATCACTACACTAACATGACAGTCAGAGTCAAACATAATTGCCATCTCTACAGAACAGAAATTCTATTTACTTTTTGTCCAGAATCAAAGTGCTCTGCACCTACCTTTTAAGGACAAGGGACTGGATCTCGTGAATTCTGCATTTGATGGCCTGTGCTGTTTGCGAACTTCCAAGTACTCCTGAACTCTTGAAGCAATGGTTTCTTTTAACAGTAAACAGACTTCCTAAAGTAAATAAAAAGTTAGATATAAGCTTCCAATTTAAATGCGAAAAAGTTAACATGATATATATTAAAACGTCAACAATGAACATTTCATTTTGTTTGCTTTTTAATTTAGTTATGAATGTTGAAAGGAATGTCATGTGTGCTCATGGATAACATTGCAGATTTAAATTTGCTACTGAAGTTTGCTCAAAACCATGATGTTGGCTCACTGTGTGATCTAGGAAAGTCATTTCATTTCTTTCTGCCTCAGTTTCACATTTCTAAAAGAAAGATAAAAACACCTCATTGTGAACTTCTGGGTGAGGAGGTAATAAAATAAGTGCAGTAACGAACACTTTCACACAAATATCAATCAGTTGTACTGTGACAAATAGAAGAAATACATTAAGAAGAGCCAACTGCTGGCTGGCAGCAAGGGCCCCAAGGAAACACCAGTGTGGCCAGCCAGCGGACAGTAGACAGGGATGGGGCCAGGAGTAAGGGCATATTCATCCACTGCTGGTGCGACGGCCTGGGGAACCCAGACCACAGCCCTAGTCAACAGCGAGCAGCTCCTCATGGTTTCAGGGGACTGTTTCATGTATATAAGCACAGTGTTGCTAGATATTCCAATTTGTTCAAAAGAAGTCAGAAATAGTAATTTTTACGGAAAATATCCCATTTTTCAAACTTGGTCTAAAAATGTTTATAAATCTAAACACATTGGCCGGGCATGGTGGCTCACGCCTGTAATCCCAGCACTTTGGGAGGCCCAGGTGGGTGGATCACGAGGTCAGGATTTCAAGACCAGCCTGACCAACATGATGAAACCCTGGCCCTACTAAAAATACAAAAATCAGCCAGGCATGCTGGTGCATGCCACTAATCCCAGCTACTCAGGAGGCTGAGGCAAGAGAATTGCTTGAACCCAGGACGTGGAGGTTGCAGTGAGCCAAGATCACGCCACTGAACTCCAGCCTGGACAAATGAGCGAGACTCCACCTTGGGGGGGGAAGAAAAATCTAAACACCATTATTAAAACCTAAACATCATCATTCATTAGTTTCTGGTCTTGGGTTTACAAATCTACTGAAGGAAAGTGTTAAGCAGTGAGTTAAGCAGCGAACTGGTAATCACTAATGTTATTTTCCTTCTAATGCTCTTGTTGATTATACTGTATATACCTGTTTGTTTTCATAAAAATGTGCTACACTCATCTATTAACAGTGAAAATGATGTAATTTCTCTAAAGTAGATTAACATTTACTGGGCGACAGAAATGTGGCTTTAATTCAATTTCAGTATTCCTTATCACTAGTAAGTTTCTGTATACTGTATGTCAATTGTTTTATGACATACAAATACAACTGTTTTATTGTTTTGGTGTTATTTATAATAAAGGAAAACAAACATTTAAGCCCAACCACACAACGGGAAGATAGTCTGTGCAGTTGTTTCCTGCACTAACAGGAAAATGTAACCTAACGTAGAAAAAGAGAATAAAATTACACACAAATCTAAATTTCTTAATTTAGATTAAGAACTGATGTATAAGGACTGATGATTCCTGTTTAATTCCCAAAGACTACAGCAAACTCAGTTGCCCAGGTCACCTCAAACCTGTTTTGCTGGTTTCTTGCAATGTCATCTCAGGTTGATCTCTTAGAATCTTCACAAATTAAAACAACAAAATTTTTAGCTGTTCTGAAGAGCAATGATAGTAAAACTTATCCTTTATTACAAACACTTGTACCCCTCAAACAATATAGAAAACACTTGATTTAACTTATGAGTGTGAGTTTCTAGATAAAATACAAACACTGGTTTCCTCTCTCCTTCTTTTCACTGCCCAAAGATGCGGTGCCTTGTGGAATACAGAGAAACTGTAAATATCCATTTACAGTTGAGTGTTTTGGCATTGTTCACACAACAAAAAGGCAGCCTTGCTGCCTCATAGTTTTTTTTTTTTTTTTTTTTTTTTTTTAACAATTAAAGAATTTTGCTTCACATGCAGAGTTCAACTATGAGTGAGCTAGAAAATATGTGAAAGACATACATGGAAACAACGATTGCTAAAATTTGGCCACAAATGCCCTATAAGGCTAAAACTAAAAATAGTATGACAAAAATAAAGCAAAGGCTCACACACAAACTCTCTCCCTCTAGCTATGGGACCTTCCTTCCCTGAGTCAGTTTGACAAATGGAAGGTAGACCAACTGCAGTGTGGCAAAGACACCAGTAACTGACCACACCACACTTAGCGAAGCTTTCTCTTCAAAGCTGCAATACTGCAAGAAAAGAAAAATTCTCAGCTACATTCGAGGGGCAGACAAGAAGAACAAGTTAAAATCAGCTGCACAAGAGAGAGATACAGAGGGTATCTCTAGGCTAACAGGCTGTGCTCACTTCCTCGAGTTTACAGATGGAACAGTTTGAATTCAACTGTTTGGGTACAAAGACTACTCATGCTGCACTCAAAATAAACATATGGTTAATGCATGTAACTAGTTATTTTTTCTAAAAAGGAACTGGATATTCTTAGGTTTTCACCTGTGTAAAATGATGGTTAAAATGCAATCAAATTTGTTGCTCATGAAATCCCAATCACGAAAGGACCTAGTGATAAAAAGGACGAAAGCCTGGGGACACTGAACTAGGCTAAAGTCATAGCCTTTCTTCAACTAGTTTTTCTCCTTTCTTACACACACAATGATCCCAGAGGGATTTTAACGTCAGTGAATCCTTTTTTTTTTTTTTTTTTTTTTTTGAGACAGGGTCTTACTCTGCCACCCAGGGTGGAATTCAGTGGCATCAGTGGAATTCAGGAGCTTGAGCCTCAAGCTCCTAGGCTCAAGTGATCCTCCCACTTCAGCCTCCAGAGTAGCTGGGACTCCAGACGCAAGCCACCACATCTGGCTAATTTTCATAATTTTTAGAGATGGGGTTTCACCATGTTGCCCAGGCTGGTCTTGAACTCCTGGGCTCAAGCAATCCACCCACCTTGGCCTCCCAAAGATGCTAGGATTATAGGTGTGTGTCACTGCCAATACACATTTTAAAAGGGCAAATTAAGGCCGAGGTGGGCGGATCATGAGGTCCGGAGTTCGAGACCAGCCTGGCCAACACAGTGAAACTCTGTCTCTACTAAAAATATAAAATTAGCTGGGTGCGGTGGCATATACCCGTAATCCCAGCTATTCGGGAGGCTGAGGCAGGAGAATCGCTTGAACCCAGGAGACGGAAGTTGCAGTGAGCCATTGCACTCTCAAAAAAGAAAAAAAACAAATTAAAGCAGCAGCAGCAAACCAACTATTTGGTTCTGAGAGGCTGACCTGCCCCTTGCAGCTGCCAGCCGCTGCTCAGCAGGTCCTGTCATGCACTGCACAGCTTTGCTAAGTCATGCCCTAATGCCCTCAAGTAGGTACTATGAGCACCCACGCAGCTGCATGTGGCTCCTATTAAAAAAAAACCCTAGCCTCATTCTTTGGCTATGAGGTGATTCAAACACCTATGGCTTTATTTTAAAGAAGTCCAAATTTACTGAATCTTAGGCAAAACTGACTCAATATTAAGAAGAAAGGTCTAAGGTGGATAAAAGTCTAAGGTGACAAAGCTGAAAGAGAATGGAGAATGGGCCTGGAATGCATTCTGTAACACTGTTAATTTAAGTCAAGTCAGAAGATTTTGGGGTAAGGTCCTCTTGGGTGACTATTAGTCACTTTAAGGAAATGAATGAACAGTTTTGAATCACAGCAATGTGTGCTAGTAAGCTAAGAGTGGAATTATGTGAAGGTAAGTGGCAGTAGGAGATGCTGATTGACTTGCTAAATATTTAAAAGTCCTGGAGAGTCTAAATCCTGCCATACAGAACCTTATGCCTTCCTTTTCTCAGCTTTGGGTCACCAGGTATTCTTTGCAAAATAATGACAGCAAAGTCTCGATCATATTATCCTTTGGGTGAAAATGTATTATCCTATAAAATATTTTTTGGGGATTGAGGATTTTTTTTCTAGTGATCTACAAAAGCTGATTAAAAGCAATTATCACAGAAAAGGGTGTTATTGTTTTGTTTTGCCACTGTCCATAGTTTTTTCTCCATATACTGTCTTTTAATAAAACTTATTTTTATTTCTCACTCTAAAAATGTGATAAATGGACATCATGGATAATGATATTTTTAAAGGCATGTAAAAGGCACAAGCTGATTATCCCTGTTCTCTGGTGAGCAGGGATGGGAAAAGGAGCTAAAGTAATGGTGAGAGCAGCTTGTAAGCCTCCACCACAGGCAGCACTTGGATGGGATTGTTGAAATTTAGAACCAGGAGTGGACTTGGCATCTAGGCGAACCTCTTCACTTTCAGATGCGGAGGCTGATGCTCAGAAAGTCCAACATCATGCTCTGCTAAGCCCCCAGCTACTGGCTTTCCTGACTGACCAACGAGAGAAGGAACACAGTCAAGTATCTCCTCACCTGTCAAAGGCTCACGATAATAAAAGGATAATAGAAAATAAAAGCTGAGGCTTTATGGGTGTGACAGTTCAACCTTGTGTTAACCACCATACCTGCTTCAGGTGCTCAGGCCATCCTTCACAACCAGTCAGGTTAGAATCCTGCTTACCTGAAATAGTCACTTTAACTTCTTCTTCTTCTCTTCTTTAATATACACAACTCCTTCCCCCAAAACACAGAGGTATAAAATGTGGTTTAAATAATAGAGTATCTCATATGAAGTATATGAATGTGTCAGTTTCTGAAGGAAGGACAAAAGTAGGTGCATATGTGTCTGTCATTGGGAATACAATTGTTTTTTCAAGGATTAAATACTCAACACTTTTTCCCCATTAATAGAAATAAAAGCTGGAAAGAGTGAATATTTTTTGTAGCAGCAGCAGCTACTTGCATGTAAATAGTAGAAAGTTTTGTTGTACCTCTTTCTTCTGTTCAGAAAACCAGCTCGTATCTTTGTTTGAACCTTGCGGCAATATATGAAGATCCACCAGGACAGCAAAATTCCCACACTGAAAGACATTAATGGCAGAGTCAGTGTCTGTGCAGCTCATGCCCAGCAAACAATGTGAGAAAATCTCACAAATTCCTATATGGTTGATCATGATGAAATGGCAACAAAGTTCACTACTAGACTCTTAATAAAGAACAGGGCTAAAGGTCATAATGTACTACTTTTCCTCAGTTTAACATTTACAGTGGAAACGCTAAGGAGAGATGCAATATTAATCAAGACAGGAAAGAAAATATCTATCTCTGGGCTGCACCTTGAAAGGGGATGTTCAGGCATCCCAGCGGCAGCTGGAAGACATCAAGCACTGAGAGAAGTTAAATAGGTGAGCACTAGGTAGGCTCCATAAAAGAATGATTCCATGCACAGCCAGGGGAATTCTTTCTTCTACTCAGCAAAGAACAGATAGAAGATACTGCATTTTCAGATGGACAAAAGGATTGGCTAGGACAGTACACTTTGATATTGAAATAGGAACATGGAAGAATGAGAAGTAAGCAGGAAGAAAAAGGTAGATATTGAATGCCAGTTAACAAAACTAAAAAAAAAAAAATTCGTTAAAATATGCTACAAAACTGTAGCCTGACTTTGTTCTTATTCTATAGGCTACTGCTGTCCAGCACTTTGAAAAAAAATGGAGATATTCTATATCTATGATGTTCAGTAAAGACAGCTAATAGCCATATGTGGCTCTGAACACTCAAGACGTGGCAACTGTGACTGAGAAGCTAAACTTTAAATGTAATTTAAATTAAAAATTTAAATAGCTGCACGTAGCTAGTGGTTCCACACAGGACAGCACAAGTACAGACCTTGTGAAAAGTTGTTGCCTTATAAATCCTCACATATATTATGAGTAAAGTAATTTCTGAAAATCACAAGATAACTGGGAATAAACTAATTTGGAAAGGAATGGAATACCAAGTCTGTAGGTTGGGGATGGTCTGGGAGACCATGAAGTTTGGTTTATGAGACCAAGAGGTTCTGGTTTATGAGACCCAGAAGTTCAGTTTTTTCACTTCCTTGGCTGGACCTTTTTTTAAAAAAATTCTGCCCTATATATCAATGGTGAATGGAAAGTAGTTTCTACAAATGGTTAGAGCAGGCATCCCCAAACTTTTTACACAGGGGGCCAGTTCACTGTCCCTCAGACCGTTGGATGGCCACCACATACTATGCTCCTCTCACTGACCACCAATGAAAGAGGTGCCCCTTCCTGAAGTGCGGCGGGGGCCGGATAAATGGCCTCAGGGGGCCGCATGTGGCCCGCAGGCTGTAGTTTGGGGACGCCTGGGTTAGAGCATCAGATGTAAATATGAAGTGAAACTTGACAACTACTTCATGCTATACACAAACTTTAATTGGAGATAGATCACACACCTAAACAAAAAAGACAAAACTATCTTCCTGACCTTTGGAACAGGAAAATATTTTTTAGACAGAATCCAGAAAACACCAAATAATGAAAAAAAAAATTGTTAATTGTTAAATGTTCAAAATTAAAAATTTCTGTTAATCAAAAAAGCACCATTAATAAATAAAATAAATAGGTATGCTACAGAATGGGGAAAAATGTATCCATGTATTTATTCATACATATATCTGGCCAAAAGGACTTATATCCAAAATATGTAAAAAACTACTATAAATTGATATTTTTTTTAAAAACCTGAGTTTGAAGACACTTCACAAATAGGATAAATAGCTAAAAAGAAAATGAAAAAAAGTGTTCAATATCATTAGTTATCAGGCAAATGAAAATTAAAACCACCAAGAAATACAACTACAATACCCACCAAAATGACTGCAATTAAAAAGACTGACATAACATGTAATGTTGGTAAGGATATGGAGCAACCCAAACTCTAACACTTTCCCAGTGGAAATGTAAGATGGTCTAGCCCCTTTGGCAAACGGGTTTGTCAGTTTCTTTTAGTCAAACGTACATTAACTTATCAACTGAGCCAATGATTCCTCCCCAGGTATCTACCCAATAGAGATGAAGCGTATGTGCACACAAAGACTTTTATGCAAATACTCATGGAATTTTTAGTTATAATAACCCAAAGTGAAGACAACCCAAAAGTCTACAACAGGAGAACAAATTGTGTCATATTCATGCAATGGAATGCTACTCACCACATACTGATATACTCAACATGTATTCATCTAAAAAACATTAGGTTCGGCAAAAGAAGCCAGACCAAAAAACTATATACTGTATGTTTCCATCTATATATAATTCTAAAACAGCAAAATCAATGTGTGATAAAAGAAATCAAAACAGTTATTTCCCAAGGGGGTGGGAACTGGGTGAGAACTGTCACAAAGGAACTTTTTTATGTGTGATAAGAATACCTTGATGGGGTATGTTAATGTGCACACTGTAATCAGTTCCTTTCACTGCATTTAAATTATACATCAATAATAAACAATTTTTAAACACTGCGTAAAATGCACTCATACTTGTTGGCAGTTACTTAAAATGTAGGTATTATGTCCCTGAAAATGTGTGGGAGACCAAAATGAAGTTTACTGGGTAATAAACTGTGAAGCATGTTGAAAGATGGTTTCCTATGATGTAAAACAGTGCACTTTAATGTGTTACAGTTTAGTGTGTTGCAACGAGCATTTTACTTTAACGAAAGAGAATTGAAGAGAATATTAGAATGCAATACAAAATATCAATGTGTCATATGGTAAGATCAAGAATTGTTTTGTGAAATGTAAGTAAGTGTGTACTCAGTTATGATGGAAAGCCTATTTCTTATTGTGGGTTGTAATAAAAAATGTTTGAAAACCACTCAAGTATACTGTTAAAGTTCTCAACAGTTGGTTATAGAATTAACCTCTAAGGAGTCTGCTGCCACCAGGTGGAGGTATCATGCCACAACTACAGGATCTTAGCCACGGAATATTAACCTTTCATGTGCCATGGAGCTATTTAGCCAGCTGTGAAGCAATGAAACGTGCTCGGAATAATAGTTTTAAATGTATGAAACATATCACACAGGATTAACAAGAAAACCAATTACAGTGAAGTACAGTTATCTTAACAAAAGAAAAATTTGTGACATAGGAATGCATGCACTTGTTTATGAAGGCATTGGGTTTTGTCAGATAGTGATGATCTAATGCCGACTACAAATCTGAAGCAGTGATAAGCATAAATGATGTCTTCATTATCTGCAACAACCATAATGTAATATGAAAAGAGCTATAATTTATAATGGTGACAAATACTGCTAATACTATTCATATTTTTATTATTCATAATAAAAAGGAAAACTAAATTTATTAGAACTTGGTCACAATAAAGATGTAACTTTTTCCCATCCAAGTTCACTGACCTCTGAATTCTATCACAGACCCACTGAAGTTCCAGAGGATCTAGAATAAAAGCCCTTCCAAAGTGGTAAAATATGTCTCAACACATTTTATTGTGGGTTCCCACAGGTGCTCTTTCCTGATTTTTTAATCTAAACCAAGCTCACTGCTACCTTTTCATTAGCAAAACTAATTCTGCTTTTTTTTTTTCTTGTAACTTTCCCACCACTGCAGAACTAAGTCTTAAGGAAAAAAAAAAAAAGGAATCTTAAGCTTAAGCAACTTGAATTGATATTGTAACAGCAGCTTTCTGAAGAATTAACATTATAGTAAGGTCCAATTTGATGTTTCTCTCACCATTTTGGGATTTTGATCACAAATAACTTTGTCTAAGTTTGAAAATAAACAGATTGAGTAAAATGTCTCTTTTTAGAAAAATAAATTGTCAAATCTTACTGCAGGGATCAGACTTTCCTGGGGTTTCTGGAAGACTCCAACAGTTTGGCAGGCAGTCCCCTCCCTCGCAGGGGACTCTCCCTCTGCAGCCCGCAGTTCTGAACTCTCTGAACTCCCTCCCACACTAGGCAGAGGTATTCTGCCTTTCCAAAGTTCCCTGCTCTCAAACCTTTGCTTCTTGTCTCATGAAAAAACAGAAGTGAGGAGGGGGGAAAAAAAGCTTCTTATGCTGCCAGCAGCACAGCCTCCCTTTCTCCTCCTCCTTAATTAGGAGGAGGTTATTTCCAGACTCAGATGATCAACTCTCTAGCTTTCTTCTGAAAGGAGCAACACGGTAACCATCACTTCTTTCTCAGGCCAGAACTGGTCACTCTGCAGAGGCCAAGCCATCTCTTGAGCAGCCCACAGGCTGCGAGGAACAGCTTCATGTCACATACAATGGACTGCGAGTCCCCCAGTCAGGGCCTGGCCTGGCTTCTATCCCCTCCACCCAGAGGATTCAGCCAACAACAGGAAGTTACCCCAACTCCTCCCTTTCCCTAACCCTCCAAAATCAGTCACACATCTTGTCCATTTTAATTTTTTAGAGAGTTCTCAAACACACTCCTCTCTTGCTCTGCTGCTCACATCCTCTCCCACTTGGAAGATCAGAGTCATTTCTACTGGTATCCTGGATGAACCCTCCATGCCTATCTGGGCAGTCTCTAGCCCACAAATCGGATCAGTCCACTCCTGCTGCAGCTCAGAGTAGCAAGTCACAAGCCTCTAATGAGGCCCACCTCTTTGTCTCCTGCACCTGACTTTTTCATCCTTGGCTTACATTACAGCTTGCCTTGCTGCTTCCATGCTTGTTGAGCTCCTATTGTATCCTCAAACCCTAACAGGAATGTGGCCAACTCTGTGAAGCTATTCTGAACAGCTTCTCTTTCACTGCTCTGGATCAGTCCATTCTTGAGTGATTATTTATTTCTGCATTAAATGACTGGTCCATGTAGGGTGCCCATCCTAGGCTATAAGCTCCATGGAGACAGGTCTATATCTCTGCCAACCCTGTATCCCCAGTGATCAGCACAGTACCAGTCCTCAGTAAATGCTTAATATTTAATGAAAGGAAGAACAAACAAACAAATAAAAAATGACAGAACAAGTTAGCTCCAAGTTTTGGGCAAATCACAGCCTTGTCTGCAAAGAGAGAGCTCTAAGCCCTTTCCAGGGACAAAGCCATTCCTATTTAGCCCAGTACACTGACACATCACAGAACAACTTCCTGTCACCCTATTCTAGAGTGGCAGCAACTCTGCCATCATGAACAACAACCAGTCATTTTTCATATTTTGCAAAATGGGAATACAAGAGTCTTAGGATTACTTCACTAGAAACTCACTGCCAACTGAGTGTATTATTTTTCCTGTCTCTTTCATAAGAATTCTAGAGGTGCAACTCACACTATTTCCAAGTCCTCACAGGTGGGAGAACTTGTCTTCTGACTTTGCATTAAGCATAAAACAAAGGTGAAAATATTAACATTTTTGATGCACAAAGCCATCTCTGGAGCAGACTCAGAACTCTAAGAGATGTAGAAGGGTCCCCACATTCTCTCAAGCACTCATTCATCATCATTAAACATCTGCTGAGTTTCACAGGGGCACTAGTCAGGCCCTGAGAGAGGAAGGGGGAGCAGCAGGGCACTGTGACATTCATGACCACAGCACTAGGATCAGAGGGAGTGGAGTGACAGCTCTGCCTGAGGAAGGCTAAGGAAGGGAAGGCGATGTCACAGTCAAGTATCGAGGAACACGGCAAGCAGTGCAGAAGGAAAAGTAAACAACACCCATGCAGAGAAAGAGCTTGACTAGCTCATGTGCCTTGGAAAAGGAAAAGAATCTCAATGTAGAACACAGGACATTGTCAGCAGATGGGGCCAACAGGGCAGGAAGGCTCAGCCTACAGAAGAGCCCTGGATAGGCGAGGAGGCTGGTGGGCTGGAGGGCTCTCTTGAGTAGAATTGTGGAGCATGGGTGGGCAGGGGGAAATCACCGGAGGCAGGCAGACAGATTCAAAGCCACTGCAGGAACCCAAATAAGAGACCATGCAAGGTGATCTCAAAGTGAAGGGGAAGGGGCCCGTTTGAGGGATACTCGGAAGACAGAAGCAAGAGGATGTGGTTGAGTGTGAGGGAGAGGAAGGAGAAGGCGGGAGGCCCAAGGCATGTGGGCAGTTTCTACCACATCCACGGGGCTTCCAGAGGCAGCTTACATACATGGGCCTGTTGCTGAGAAGCCACACAAATCATCACTGGCATTTTACACCCACCTGGAATTGAGGATGTAAGGCAGCTTCAAGTAACAAGGCAAAAATTTAAAATGGGGAGAATAAGTAAAGGCAAACAAGGGTAAAAACCTAAGATGAAACCAGTGATAGGCCTGCACGCAATTCCCACCACAGTCCCAGGTCTTTGCAACATCTGGCTCTGAGATT